TGTTTTTTAAAGGTGGGGGGACATGAGAAAAATAATGTTGTCGAAATTCCGTTCAAATATGCTCCTCGAGGAGTTGAACTTGTCGAGGCGAGTGTTGAAGGTGCGGCGCCGCTACCGACTGAGCCACGCGGGCAAAGAGAAAGCGCACGCCCGATTGCATACATAAAGGCGAGGGCGACAGCTGTACGCAGAGTGACATTAAGCGTTGTACACCGTTACGGTAGAATGCATACTCTGGCCCCAAAAATCCCCCGTAAAATCTCCTGTCCCCCCACCTTTGAAGATTTCAAAATGTTTTTGTTAATTTCCTCTCAGGTGTATGAAAAAACCTGACAAAAATCAGAGAAAACACTGAAGATCAATAAAAATTCGAATTTCGCGCGCTTTTACCGGCAGTTGGCCTAGAAAACTCACAACTGGCCGCTAGTCCACCGATTCTCACTTTGACTTTTCGATGCCGTTTTTCTCAATGAATGAATTTTTTTTTGAATTTTTTCTTTGTTTTTATGAGAATCTACATGATATTCTGCACAAAATAAAGCAGTACAATTTTTCACCGCACACCACCTTTAACATTGTCATCACCGAGTTTCATATTCCGTTTAATTTCGGCTTTTTCTTTATCAACCATCTCCGTGAAAATGAATATCAATATTCTGGAAAAACGATCGAATCTATAAAAATAATTTCGAAAAATATGAATTTATTTCGAGAACATTGGAATCAATTTCCAGCAATTCTGGAGAAATTGAATTGGGCTTTGAAGGAAGATGCGATGTGTTCTTTCAATTAAAATAAAAATGTTTTTTTTTAGATTTTTTTGAATTTTTGAATTTCCAAAATTTTGAATTTTTGAATTTCTGAATTTTTGAATTTTTGAATTTTTGAACTTTTGAATTTTTGAATTTTTGAACTTTTGAATTTTCGAATATTTGAATATTTGAATTTTTAAACTTTCGAATTTTTGAATTTTTAAACTTTCGAATTTTTGAATTTTTGAACTTTTGAATTTTTGAATGTTTGAATTTTTGAACTTTTGAATTTTTGAATTTTTGAATTTTTGAAATTTTGAATTTTTCAATTTCAAAATTTTTGAATTTTTTAATTTCTGAATTTTTGAACTTTTGAATTTTCGAATATTTGAATATTTGAATTTTTAAACTTTCGAATTTTTGAATTTTTGAAATTTTGAATTTTTGAATTTTTGAATTTCAAAATTTTTGAATTTTTTAATTTCTGAATTTTTGAACTTTTGAATTTTTGAATTTTCGAATATTTGAATATTTGAATTTCTGAATTTTTGAATTTTCAAATTTTTGAATTTCTGAATTTTTGAATTTTGGAATTTTTTCAAACTTAATAATTCTTCCGTTTTTGTCAATTTTCATGATTTTCCGAAAATTTCGAAATAGTCCCACACCCAAAAAGATATTTTTGTGAGCAAATAAAATTCTATTTCCACTGATAAGAAAATATATATATTGTGATTTCATAACACCATTTTCCGTCTCTTTTTCTGCTGACTAACCGCTCTCCTTTTTGACATATATACACATTTTTGATAAGACGAAAATCGACAAATTTTACTTTTTCTTCTCAAAATTAAAAAAAAAACCTTTTTAAAAATTTTCTAAAACTTTCAGATTCCATAGAAAATGAGTAATCCCAGAGATGAGGAGTATGACTATTTGTTTAAAGGTAAGAAAAGCAATATTTTGACAATTTTTGCCCGAAAATTCCAAAAAAAAATTTTCAAAGTTACAGTAGTCCTCGTTGGCGATTCTGGAGTTGGAAAATCCAATTTACTCTCCAGATTCACCAGAAATACATTCGATTTGGAAACCAAATCGACGATTGGAGTGGAATTTGCGACGAGAAGTATGATGGTGAGTGGAACGGGAAATGTGTCAAGGCACGAGAAATGCGCTAAGGCACCAAATATGCGTCATGGCACTAAATATGCATAAATTACTGAGAAACGTGTCAAGGCACTTGAAGTGCGTCAAATCACTAAAAACGCGCCAAGTCACCCCCTTGGCGCACTTTTGGTGCATTGACGCGGTTAATTAGCATGAAAAAGGCGCCAAAAGACGATAATCAACTTCCCTGACGCGTTTTCGGTGCCTTGACGCTTTTCTGAATTTTGTATTTCCTGAAGTCTCACGTTTTTGTATGAGCGTTGAGAAGTCCAAAAAACACGTCACAGATCAGGAAATGCGCCAAAACACGAAAAATACGCAAAGGCACGAGAATCGCGTCAAGATACTAGAAACGCGCCAAGTCACCCCTTGGTGCACTTTTGTGCATTGACGCGTTTCAAGTCAATTAGCACGGGAAAGGCGCCAAGAGACGATAATCAACATCCCTGACGCATTTCTCGTGCCTTGACGCGTATCTAGTTTCTTGCCGCATTTTTCACGTCTTTGTGGTCTGAAAGTAACCGTTCTGAGTCTAGTTCTTTTCTGACGTCTTTTTGGAATCCTTGCGCTTTTTCCGTGCCTTGGCGCACCTTCCGTGCCATGACACGTTTCCTGATCTCCAATGTATTTCGTTTCAGATCGAGGGAAAAAAGATCAAAGCCACAATTTGGGACACAGCTGGACAAGAGAGATACCGAGCAATCACTCCAGCCTATTATCGTGGAGCTCTTGGAATTCTGATCGTCTATGATATCGCAAAACATCAAACATTTCAAAATATCGATCAATGGTTGAAAGAGTTGAGAAATCATGCGGACGAGTCTAATATCAGTATTATGTTGGTTGGAAATAAGACAGATTTGAGACATCTGAGAGCTGTCCCCACTCAAGAGGCTGCTATTTATGCCGACAGAAATCATATGAGCTTTATTGGTGAGGTTTTTGAAATTTTTAAAAAAAATTAGCACTAAAAATGCGCCAGCACGCTTAAAATGCACTAACGCACT